TTACATAAGGATATATATAAACACATGTCCCAAGATCTCTCCCGCACCCTCCCCAATCTTTGGCACTCAATCCGTTCCTTTTGTTACTTCTAACATCATTATCGACCACTAAAACTCCTAATTAACATTCTCTCCAAACAGAATTATTACTTCCCCATCTCCAAATTTTCTCTTCAATTTTCGTGCATAACTGTATCTAAATGATGAAAAGTCTCAGTTTCATACTGCTATTTTCATCATTCATACTTTCCACCATCCCATTTTCCTTATCTGAGATCAAAAACACCAAAATCCTCGTTGATCCCCGGCCAATGATACTCTTCGAACGATTTGGGTATTCCAAAGGAGGTCATGTGTCTGTCGTCGTTCAAAATGTTACTTGGAAATCAAGGCATTCAAAATCCCCACTTAACCTTTTTTCCATGGGATTTTTCCTAGCAAGTGATACTTCATTTCGCAAAATCTTGAACGAGTCGGAGCACTACTGTGTTCTATCAAACAGGAATGTCAAACTCCTTTTCCAGTTTCATAGCCTCTCTGCTGATTCAACCATCAATGGCTCTGCAGATATCGAAGATCCAGATGAGTATAATTTAGTTTTTGGAAACTGTCAGCCTGAATTCGAAATCTCAATGCACGTTCACACCGAAATGTATAACCTCAATGACGGTAGAAAGGATTTCCTCCCCGCAGGCCAAACCGTATTGCCGAAACTCTACTTCCTCTTTTTTCTTGTTTACTCATGCCTAACCGCAGTGTGGTTGTTTATATCTATCAATCAGAGGCCTAAAGTCGAAAAAATTCATGTAATAATTGGGGCACTACTCCTAGTCAAAACCATGAAGATGATCTGTGCATCTGAAGACAAGATGTTTGTCCGAAGAACAGGAACTCCACACGGATGGGATGTTGCGTTCTACATTTTTGGATTCTTGAAAGGAGTGATGTTGTTTACGGTGATAATCCTGATTGGAACTGGTTGGTCAATCTTGAAGCCGTACCTCCAGGAACGGGAAAAGAAGGTTCTCATGACAGTGATTCCTTTGCAACTTCTTGAAAATATTGTTTATGTTGTGATAAGCGAGACGGGACCTGCTACAAAGGACTGGATGACATGGAACCAGATGTTCTTATTGATCGACATTGTGTGCTGCTGCGCGGTGGTTTTTCCAATCATTTGGTCGATAAGGAGTCTGCGGGAGGCGTCCAAAACTGATGGAAAAGCAGCGAAGAACCTGAAAAAGCTTACTCTGTTCAAGCAGTTCTACATTGTCCTAGTGGGGTATTTGTACTTTACTAGGATTCTGGTTCCTGCAATTGGGGCTTTGATTAATTATAGATTTGAATGGTTGATTACCGTTTTGGCTGAGGGTGCAAGCCTGGGGTTTTATTTGTTTATTTTCTGTAATTTTCAGCCAGTCGAAAGGAATCCATATTTGGTGATTGGGGATGATGAGGAGAATGAAGCAGGTCAGATCCTGGAGGAAGATGACTCCTTTGAATTATAGGATTTTAAACAATTTAGAGTGAGTTTGAGCATGTAACTGGTTAGACAAACCAATCCTAAAAGTAGTTATACAAATAATTTTTTTTTTTTTTTCAAAAAATAGAGATAGTTATACAAGCAGTTAAAAGGTATAACATTTCCTCATTTGTTCCTCCGTCTGACGGTTTTTTTTTTAAGTAACGTTGTCGACGAATAACATATGATATGACATTAATTTAAAATAAATAATTTTATTTTTAATAATTACCAAGAAGGAATATTATAGGCCAACATTAAGGCACAATTTTGAAATCCAAGCCTCCTATGTAGTTTGGGGATGTTAGTTAGTAATTTTACCTAAATTATTATAGAATAAATATTTAATAAAGTTTTTATTTTTAAACTACTATATATTAGGTATTCAATAAAATTTTTTATTTAGTGATTTAAAACTAACAAATAATGGTTGGGCTTCATTGAAAAAATTATCTAAAATATCTTTTTATATTAAATAGTTAGCATATTGAAAATTTTAAATTTTATTGAAAAAGTTTTCCATTTTATTTCTTTAATTTGTTTATTGTCTCTAAATGCTAATTATCTAATTGG